TTCGGCCCGATATCGGAAACTTTCTCCCCCATTCATGTTTGTATATTTTTTTTAGGCTTAGCCATTTTTGCAGGAACATTATTTGCTCCTGGTGTAGGTTATAATGTATTGATGTATAACAATTTGTTTACGTGAATGTGAAAATCATCTTGATACATATCCGGTGTGGGCTTTCATAACAAGTTGACAGATACTTTCGATTTAAACTGTTGGTGAGTTAGCTATAGTGACAATGACCAGACCCTATAAAGAGTATTATTGCCTATGCTCTTTAGGTATACTACGAAAAATAATATGATGTGACAAATTAACAAGATTTATTTTAACAAATTAACAATTATGTTTTGATCCAAGTTGTAGTTGTATTTATAACGTATCAAAGTATTTCATTTATCAGAATCGACTATTTGAATGTAGGTAGGCATTAACTATATAAAAAATTCCATAAATATGCATTTAGGCAAGTATAAATAAGTGTTAAAAAAAATTAGTTGTTTTCGGAAATAAATACGCTAGTTCATATAATTTATATCTCAGTGTCCGGTGTTTCACCTTGTAATTTGTATATTTGTGTTACGTACGTGTTTTTACTGAGTATTTCTACTTCCCCATTCCCCCAAAAGTGATAAAATTTAAAAAAATACAATTGTTGAGATAAAGTATTCATAATTTAATACAAAACCTATTATAATAGCATAGGTATTGAGACTGTTGCACTGTACATTTTAATATTTTTCTTATAATTCACTACTTCACTGCAATTATATATTTATATTTATCTAGTAGATATAACATATAAATATACGATAAGCTTTGTAAAGCTAGTTATTCATTAATAATATAATAAATCATAAATTGAATCGAAACAATTTTTTTTAACAACAGAATGTATAAAATAAATATAAATATAAAAGGCTAATACTGTTCGTTTCTAAATATATTTATTGGTTTTAATAATACCTTCTATAATTAATATTATTATTTCTTTATTTTAAAGCTATAATTTACTAAAAGGTTATTATTTGATAAATTAAATATACAAATGTGTAAAAAATGAGAAACTTTTAGACGAGCAAATAAGAATTTTTACAATTCGCAAGTGGCTGTAATTTAAAATTGGTTACGTAAATTATAGTTATCGTCGATGTAAATAAAAGTAATAATTTTGGTAGCTTGATCTCTGCTGAATGCTTCTTGCATATCTGGCTGAGCATTATTTATATTAATGTTTGTCATTTTGTATCCACACACAAATTACTAGCTGATGATGCATTTGTACTGCGTTGTAGAAACGTAGACGTACAGACTGCATAAAGTATGCATATAGTGTATTCTCACCGTACATTTTTGAACAAATGACAACTATCTAATATTATTATTAGTGTGTCTACTGTCTACAGTATAACGAGTATCGACGTAGGGGAGATAAACATATGGCTATATGACGGCAGTAACCAGTATTTAAATACCTAAAGCCGTTTCATTTTGACCGTAAATTATGTACTTAATTCATTCACATTCTCGGTGTTGTGAAGTAGGTAGGTGCATCGTGCATTGTACATGATGTTCACGTTGTTAAGAGAGATTCCACACGAGCTTCAAGTAAGAGTGTAAGACAACTTAAATACACTATACTACTATAGGTACGTATATAGTATTATATAGATATAGTATAATAATGACATTTTATTCAGTTGATGTGAAACTGTTCTAAAATTGTAATTCGTATGTTAATTAGATCCAGTTGGTTCTTTTTTTTATTACATTTATTTTTTTAATTATTATTATCGTTGATTTGCGTTTTTATGGCAATAAACAAAGTGTTACAAAAATCGGCCTCGGGAAAATCGATTAGGAAAAAAAGCTGTACTCAGTCAAAAAAACATATCTACTCGTATGTTACAAAAATATGAGCAAGTGGGTACCCGTATCACTCTGTTACAGTACAGTAGTAGGTGGGCAAGTGGGTACCCGTATCACACTGCTGCAGTACAGTAAGTGCAGAATGGGTCACAGTGTTAAATTTGAATTGAAATGTCATCATTATAGTAAAATATATTATAAATTAAAATATACCTACGTTTCAAATCCACACGAGTAAAGTTTTTATGTACAACAAGATAAACAAAAATCTAAATTTACTTTTAACAAAATCAAATTGTATGTATTTTTAGATTTATTGATCCTAGTACGGACAAGTAAATTAAGAACCTTTTTTTAAATGTTAAGCCTTAGCTATAAACATTTAACATTTCATACCAATATGTGATAAGTCCACCAGTTTCAAAAACCTTATATTTTCTTTTCTTAAAAAACTAAAAAAATATAAAAATATTGATAATGATTTGGAGCCAATGTGCAACTTTGGGTGGGCTAACTTTACGTAAGTCTATTTTCTTACGATTCATCTCAATAATAACATTTACTAAATCAATTATTCATTATTATTAAGTTTACATTTTTGTAATTGAAAAATTTGAAGTAAAAACATACAATTTCCAGAGGTTGATTTTAAAAACAATGAAAATAATCTCGGAAATGTTAGGCGAATATTCGCTCAGTGTGAATATACTCAGTCAAAACAACGTGTTTAATTTTAAAAAACTTGAGCGAAAGTCTTTAGCGAAGGTTGGCCTACAATTGAACATTCGGGATCGATCACAGGCGATGGTGGATTTTATTCGCTCGGTTCACTAGTGTGAACACGTCATAATCTAAAAAAAGTTATTTAATTGTAAGCTAATTTTTACGTTGATTTGGCTGGCGTCATCGCTGAAATAATTCGCCTAGTATAGTAGTATGTATCTATAGAGGCCTGTACTGCGTAGGTATGCCTTAGCAACTTACTAATACGTGTGCGTAATATTTATGACATTTTTAATAAATAATAATAATTTGATAAGTCATCCATGTCACTATGTCAGTCAACCTTATCGTCTACATTATATGGAAATAATCTTGATGATTGGTCAATGGTCAACTGATGGGCGATTAACAGTTTAGGTATACAAATGTTGGTAACTGTTCATATGTTATCGATTTCTTGAACTTTTATAGACTACCTATATAGAAATAGAAAATTATAAATCCATGTAAGCATTTACAACTAAATTCCATGAATTGAATTGAATGCATTCATATACATGAAGTATTGTAACTTTTCCAGTTAAAGTATGACAAGTAATCGATCCTTATACACCAGACATTTCCTGTTACCACTGCCCACTCATACGTCTGTTGTCGGTATACTATTGTGAGTATTCTATACCGTGGTTCAGAAGCTTAGAATGTATTGTATAGTTTCGTAAAACCTTGAACCTAACGTCAGCTAATCTGTAATCGTATAAATGAGTGCGTTCAATGTTTGTGAAATGTGTTATTCTTTAGGAAATATCCCGTGTGGTCGTATGAAACGATTGGGTGCCGTCTTTACTGGCGAAATCTTTTTTTCTTTTTAGGCATACTATTATCGATTGGGCAATATTGTTTTTACTTTCGTGCAAGAATACCAAGTATAATTTCTTCAGTCTGTCCAAATTCCAAATTGAAGCATGCTCTATTCACTTAGGACAATCTTAATGGTGCATAGTAAGTTGAATCAAAATATCAAATAGAATATGATTTGGGGACGTATATTATTGAAACTGGTTGCTCATTTCCGTATATTGTATGGACTGAGACTACACCATTAAATCCTAGGAAAATATTTACTAATGAAAGTCTAAAAAATAAAAAAGAGTATCTTTGTAAAAAATAAAAAGTCAGAAAATGTACAAACTATTTGGTAGGACAAACAGAACAGTGATTGACTACCTAGTTAAGATTTTGTTTACTATTAAAATGTATTCATAAATTGGTTTTCAACATTAAATATTTATTCAGCTTAGACTTTAAAATTGGTACAACTGTTTATTTTTAACCTAACTTTAAGAAAACCATATAAAACTTCATTATAATACCTATGTGCTATTTATTATTAAAAATATTAGTTAATTAAAAAAAGTAAGTGAAATCCTAGTGATTGAACATTGCATGCTAATTTTTGAAAACTCAAGGTATGAACAGTGAACATCTAATTATGACAATTTGTACATAATTCGTAAATAATAATTATAGTACCTTTATTAAAAAATAACACAAATCTTAAATATATACGTAATACATATTATCTACGGGTATCATGGATTAATCTTTGCTTCTTATAAAAATAAGTTCAATACGTCACTGGTTCAACCTACCGTGAATGACATTATTAATAACAAAATAAATTATCTACTGTAATACTGCAATAAGTATAATACTGTATAAATACCTATGTAATAAAATATCATTAAAGGCATAATATGGGATGGACCAACACCACTAAACGATATATTTTCGTTTACGATGATAATACGTGATAATAATATGTAAGTTTGATATTTCATGAAATTATATGATACCTACTTGACTATGTAAGATGTGATAATTTTTGCTCTAAGCAACTATTATTATTATCAGAGATGGAATTTTATAGCGCTAGAAAAGTATAAATATGTATGTAATAGAAATTACAAAATTAAAATTATTTATAAAAAAAACAAGACTAACTATTTTTGTGTTAAGCCACAAATATGGATAGTAGTATTGATTTTAGAGGAAAATTATAATTTGTAATCGGTGAATCATGTTCGCGCTTCATAATGAAATTATGACAAATAATAAATATTATTTAAACACATTACACACATATGAATGTAATTGAAGAACAAACAGTTTAGATAACAGATTATCAATAGCCAGATTAATCTTTTGTCCAATTAATTAAGTTATACACACTATTATTTTAATTGCTGAGATATTATACGCAACGCCATAGTGGTTATTAATTTTTAAAGTGGGCAAAGACCATATAGTAGGTTACTGATTTATAAAATATAAGGACAATTGTAAAATGATATTGTCATAATTAAATTCAATGTGTTCAGTTTAGAAAAAAATAAAAAGTTTTGTTAACATATATATTTGTTTTTGTGATATTTCATCATTTTTAAACCTATGTTTATTAAAATTAAAGTATAATATTGTACATTGATAACAATCACGACGTCGATCGCCTCTATTTGTGTATGGTGCAATCTAATAAGCCGTGTGTAATGATGAAATTAATTTAAAAATTTTACCAGTTTAGCGATGTAAGTACAGTTTATGCAACTAATCACAAAATATAAGTGTAAGTGCATAAGAATTCAAGAAGATATTAGGGTAAAAAATAAAGGTACCCTTACATTTAGCTAAACTATTTAAGGTAATGCTTGTCACGATTAATAAATTAATCATACATATAAATATACATATATACATATATCAATTTCATTATTCATTTGTAAAAGTATCTCGTTAGAAGGTAGTGCCTAGATTTACACTTATCGATCAGATGTATTTCAATTTTGAGTACGGTTAATGTACTCAATTAGGTACTTATCTACCTGTAACCTGCCGGTGGGAAGTGTTAAGTCTTAACTCCTTATATTTTACAGTCGTCTGTCTATATTGTAGTTAAGTGTATTCATTTTTCAAGCCTAAAAGTTATTGTTTTTATATATCTCTTCCTGAGGGTCTCAATTTATGATTCTCGAAGCAATAATTTCTAATATTTATACGTATAAAAATCAAATTATTTTATTTTAATTTAGTCTTAAATCTACATATTTTTATTGAGTTACTTACCTACTGTTAATATACAAATTAATATATGATAGTTATAACTTATAATAATATAAAAGTCATAATTAATTGTTTCAATGTTCTAGTGGTGTCAAGTAAAGAATATTGCAAACTAATCTGCAGGTGCATATTCATCTATATAGGAAAAAATAATTTCTAAAAACGTCGATATGTCAAGTCAATTAAAAGCTTATGAAAAGGTTAGTAGAAATATTTTTATTTGGTAATTGTTACTTTAATAGTTTAATTAACTTAATTATTTATCATAGAATAAAATATTAAATACTTATTCTATCTGATGAGAAGGCTTTTCATTTTGCGAATCATGTATTTTTATGTGTAAACCTCTATAAGATGTCAGTAAAATCATATTTTCTCTTTGTATAGACTTAATCGGGTAAATGTAAACTGGGCCCGAAGGTACCTTTTTTGTTGTAAACTCGGCCCGAGAATTTTAGATAGTAAAAATAGGTAGATTGTAAACTCGGCCCGGAAATTTCAGGTAGTAAAATAAATCGATTGTAAACTCGGCCTGAAAACATACATAGGAGAAGATTCTATGCTTCCGCCTGAAATGTGGGCCAGTGCATCAGTTGAAACGTATTTAACAACAAATGCATGTGAATCATTTCATGCGCATTTTAATTCAAGTTTTAATTCCACTCACCCCAATATATATTCCGTCATTTCAAAATTAAAAGAAGTACAAACAGAAACGTACATTAAAATCAACAGCCTAGATGCACCATTTAAATTCCAAAATATAAAAACTAAAAAAAAAAAAAGAACTCTTAGAAAGAACACTTACAAAATATAAAAATAAAGATATATCAGTGAGTGAATATGTAAAATACATATCTTTTTACTTAAAAAAACTAGATTTATATATTATTATAATAAAATTTTTCACTCATTATTTACACTACAATATTACTTATTTATTTTTTATTATATTTTTACATATTTTTACACTTATACATTTATATAAATACATTTATTATTATTTTATTATAAATATAATAACATTTTAATTACATTTTTCATTTAAATAACGAATTTCATACTATGAATAATAATATGAAAATGAAAATAATTTTTGGAGGATAATGAGAACCGCCTCCTCTCGTAGTGTCCTCTGGGTAATGCTAAATGTTTCTCAAAAATATTATAAGAAAAATCATGGTTTTTACACCTAAATTATTTTTACCTGAAAAAAATCGGGGCCGAGTTTACATCTAAATAATTTTGACCTGAAAAAACCCGGGCCGAGTTTACATTTAAATAATATTGACCTGAAAAAAACCCGGGCCGAGTTAACAATCCACCTTTTGAAAATGTTTTTTCTTAGGGCCGAGTTTACAATCTCCCACTTAATCGGCGTAACCAGTATGACTGACAACCGTTACTTGTTAAAATTAGGAACTTTCCGTTGAACTTTACCTTCGGTTATATTAGTACTAACTGAAGTATAATCGATACCGTGTTTTCTTGAGATTTGAAAACACTCGAATCAGAAGAGTACATTTCATACTTCAGCTGTCATAAACCAACAATTTCATGTACTTAAAATTGAAAAGGCATTAACTATTTTCTAGTTTCAAACTTTAAGCCATTTACTTTTTAATTGAAAACTCTACACATTACAATATACCTAGGTACTTATACATCCTTCTTCTGATCAATGCTCTTGAGAGCACCACGCAAGTTATTCGTGTTTAAATGTACACTTCTGAGTTCGTATCGATTCGGAATAAGAAAATTATGGTACCTACTTGCCCCAATTTTTTTTTTTTGTTAGCTATTTTTCAAATTCTGATTACACAAACGTGATTTTTTTTTCAATTCTGAAAGTTTATGAACTTGCATGTTTATACATCAACTAGACTCCCTCTTTATTTGTCTTCACAACATGCCATTCACTTATTGTTCAATATATGTATGAACAGATTGTGTAATAAAAAATTTTTAAAAAAATTATTTATAAAACTCCTGACTCTTTATTATTTGATAAAATCTATTGCTCTTTATAGCTTTTGGTTTTATAAAATAAAAACTTTAACTCGGCATTAGGTAATTTATAAAAACACTCATATGAGTTATAATTTATTATTTCTTCAATAATCATAAGGTAAAAAAAATGCTCTTAATTATTTACTATTTAGAACTTGGCTAATTGTAATTTATTATTTATTTATTGTTCGAATTAAAATAATATTTGACAAAAATAAATAGGAATTACACATAGAAGCATATTAGAAGTGCGGAAAAAAATTAAAAACTCAATAGAACCAATATAGTTTTTTTTTTTTAAACTTGTATTTACCCATTGTTTTGATTTCAATAAATATGGTCCATGATATTGCATAGACAATAATGTGTTTCGATAAGGAAATGTTTATCTTAGTCTACAGTAGGTAACACATTAAGTAAAATTGTTATAGGTGTAGCGTAAAGGTATAACTGTATAAGTAACGTACTACTATAATACTGATATTGTTAGTATTAAGTATAAACTATAGAAACTAATTGTAATTAAGTGTATTAATAGCTGATAAAAATTCATTAGCCCTCGTCATTCACAATATAATAATTTCATCATCGTTTAATCACGATTAAGATAAAATAATATTAAAAACATCATAATTTATTTGTTTGATAAATTTATATAATAAAAAAAATTATTTGGATCGTTGTTATACCTATATGGTTAAATTATTTATAATTAATGAACCATTCACGCAAATGAAAGTGTTTTCAACATGTTATAGTGGGTATATATAATAGGTGGGTCTACAGGTCGTGCAAGCAAGATATGCACGACCTGAGAAATTTTACGAAACATGTGTAAGAGTGATATCAATAATATTGCTGTTACTTTTAAATATTAAAAGGTTTTTTTTCATTTTTATCACTTGTATTATTTATTATTTTCAGTACTCACAATAATGTTCCTAATCATGATTTTTTTTCTCAACATTTGGGGATCAAACTCCTTATCCCCGCTTGGTTTCACATTCATATATTAAACTTGACTCCACGACCTGCAAAAAAGGTCTAGAACTCTAGACACGCCTATGCATATTATATGCTTGAAAACGATAACAAACACGTTTTTCGTTGTATTTTATTATAAATAATTCAGTTAACACTAAAACTGGCACAGTCCGTGGTTTTAACTGAAAATAGAAAGTACTTTAGTATACCTAGTATATAATATTATTACTGTACCCGAGATTTTAATTTTAATTAAAATATAAATAATGTACACGTTCAAAACTTTAAAGCTGGTGCCATCCGAAAATGATTTGCAGCTGGGTGAAGTGATCGACTTGAGAAGCGATACAGTAACGAAACCGGATGTCCCTATGCGCCAAGCAATGTTCGATGCTGAAGTCGGTGACGATGGTTACGGAGAGGATCCCACCATAAATCGTAAGTTTGAACAACGGTTTTTAAGCCTAACACAACTAATCTAAGTGTGATAATATAGTACAGAAATAATTTATTTGTAATTATTAAACCGTTACTATTTAAAGGTAAAATTATAGTTTTAACTAACTTCTATTCTCTTTTGCTTAGCTCATTGTTGTTTGATATTTTTTAATTATTATAGTTTTGGAAGAGAAAACGTCGAAACTATTTGAGAAAGAAGCGGCAATATTTTTACCAAGCGGACTCATGGGAAATTTGATTGCAAGTAATTAAACATATTTGTAATTTAATTTAATTTAATTTTCTGGCATTCAATAATTTGAAAATCATAATATTGGGTTATTTATGAATATTCTTAGATTCTAGGTTAATTTGACCAAATTATGCGTTTTGGTTGTAATACCTATATTATTTTGACTTAACATGTAAAATGTTTGGATTTTAAAATAATTTAATGACGTGTGAAAGCTAATTAATAAAAAATATAGATTACTTTTATCTATATGTAAAACAAACGTACTAACTTTGTATCTGTGACATTTTGTGTAGATATTTTCAGTATCTATAATGTATTGGAGCTTTGAGAGGTATATATTATACATCCGGATCCTATTTACAAATGTATATATAATATATCAGTACCTAACCAAAATGAATATACTATATGGATATCTTATTATAAAAAATTAGCATGCCTATGGATATACACTATACACTGATTAGAGATTCGTAATCACGAAAAGTATCAACAATTTAAATTTTAACAATATTGAACGAACAATATTGAAACATATATATTATATAACTACCATATATGTATATCTCAAGAAATAACTCAAATTTCTATTAATCACAAAAATATAGTTCACATAATTTTAAGAACATGTATTATTCAATTCAATTATTAAAGATTTGTATTCTAAATACTATAATATTTGAATTTTTAAAGTTGAACTTAATTAATCAGTATACATTATAATATAAATAATATTGTATAAGGTGAAATCAATCAAATTAAAAAATATAAATTATTACAAAAAAGTAAAAGCAACTTTATATGCACCTCCCCCCCCCCAAAAAAAAAAAAAAACAACCAACAATTTAGATTTTAACAATATTAACTATACTTATTACTTTACTTACTTTCTTAGTGCTTTGGAAGGGTTTGTGAAATTTAATATTTATATGTGGTTGAATGGAAATTATCTATTACTTTTTTACAATTTACAAAGCAAATAAGTTTAGTAAGTGTTTACTGTTATATTAGTTGATAATTAATTATTCGATCTATGATTTTATAATGTTTTTTACAATTGAAAATTACAATTTCTAGTGATGGTTCATTCAAAACAGCGTGGTGGTGAAGTAATAGTGGGCCATAAAAGTCATATTTTGCTGTGGGAACAAGGTGGAGCTTCACAGGTACCTAAATATATATACAATTTCGTGTGTGTATATTTTTTATTATTTAGAAGTGTACTATCAATATTATAATAATAATTAATAACGTTTGATTAAAAAAACAATCCATTAGTTCCACTTTAATTAAGGTGTTGAGTATTCATGTATTTTATGTATAATTGTAAAAATACTATATAAAAATTGAACATTTTATACATTTATAACTACAAAATAATTTGCAAATTTTCTCAATTTTCGAGCTATTTTGATATAAACATCATCATCATCATCATCATCATCATCATCATCATCATCATCATCATCATCACATCATGAACATTTTTATAGATTTGTGTTAATTTTTTTTAATTCCAACAAAAAACTGAGGAATAGCTTATATACATTTTTTAATTCTTAGCTATAAAAATTGAATATTTTATTAATCGTATTACCACAAAATAGTTTGTGGTTTTGTCGAATTTTGTCAAAACTTGAGCTTAAAATTAATATTAAAAAAATGTATGCTTATGTATTTTTAATATTTTAATATAGCTATAAGAACAACGTATATGAGGATCTTGTATTACATCTTTTTGATCAATAGAATAAGTTTTTATCGAGAATAACTGTAAAAAAACTAAAATGGAAATGACTGATAAATTTAAATAGCTTAAAGAAGTTTAAATATTTATAAACATGATAAAATCAATGTTAGGTGAAAATGTCAAGAAACTACAGTAATTAGTTTTCTAATTACAACAGGATATCAAAAATAGATTTAGTATAAATAGTTATTTTACAAGTGAAATTAATGTCGAAAAAATTTGAACTTCTAACACTCATAAAAAATGAACATTCCAGTACATTTTTTTTTTTTTATTAATTTTGGCATTCTAACAGATTGCCGGGTTGCAAATGAGAGAAGTTAGGAATTTGGACGATGGTACCTTGGATATGACAGAGTTACTTGGAAAAATACGACCGGAGTTCCCAGATCCGCATGAACCATATACTACACTAGTGTGCATAGAAAACACTCACAACTATTGTGGTGGTACTGTATTGCCTGTCGAATGGATTGATCAGGTAACAAATATAATATAATACAATAATAATTTATTGAATGTATATATTACATATTCCTACTTAGGTATTGCCTTTTTAACTAGAATGATTTTCAGGAAAACAGTTGTTTAGGCATGTAAACATTAGCTTACAGTATCGTTGACAGATTTATAACTTGCTAAATACTGATAATTACTGCACAAATTACGTGAACATTTTATGTTCTCTATTGTAATTATTATTATATTGATAAATAATTACTAATTCGCCATGTACATATACAGCCTCTAAAGTCTAAATATTAAGTAAATAATCATGATAATGAGTAATGATAATTGGATGATATATAACTTCGAAATAATTATATTTTCATAATTTTAAGGTCAATGGTGTTTCGTAACTCATAATCAAAAACAATTTATTTTCGAGCATATTTGAAAAATATATTTCTACACCTTTATTATAAGTTATAACTATAGGTAATACTAATTTGATATCTATATAGTATAAGGTTACTCAAATTACAAGCTACAACAACGTAGTTCCATATACTTTTATAACATATTCAATTGTGGAATTCAAAATGAATGAAAATTCAATTTAGAATGTAAGGTTAATACGAGTAAAATAATAATTAGATAAAATATTTCGAAACCGCTTAAAAATTAAAATATATCAAAATATATCAAAATACTTAAGTGTTATTGCCTACTTATTATTACCAACTTCTTCTAAAATTTAATACACGATTGTTCAATGTAAATATGTATTATGTAATGATACTAACTTTCTTTAAGTTTAACTAATTTTAATTTTTAAATCATTCAAATTACCTTCTTTTCAGTTGATTGTGATTTCAGCAGTAACTATATAACATTTTATTATACCTAATACTTGCTTCGACAACTATAAGGAAATTCTCTTTTTTATTCTGGTATTACTTTTAGCTGATATTTTAATATAAAAATTCTCACTATTACTAATGCATGGCCCTTTGGGGCAATAGATAATAAGTACATATCTAGATACTTCTAAAGTTCTAAGTGTTTAAACTGCTCTCTTGCTCTTCAATAAGTAATTTCGAAGAACAAAAATTTGCTATCCATATTTCTGATACTGATAGTCGATTAACCTGCAGCAATTACATCAATATAAGAATAAAATATAATTGTTATTAAAACACAATAGTATTAAGTAAAAATAATGTGAAATATAATACGTGTACATTATTGAACATTTCAGTTGGGAAAACTCACCAAAGAGAGAAATATACCTTTGCATATGGACGGAGCAAGAGTGTTTAACGCAGCAGTGAGTCTCGGGGTCCCAGTCAGCCGCATAGTGAAGCACTGCGATTCCGTGACGTTTTGCTTGAGTAAAGGTCTTGGAGCCCCAATCGGTTCCATTTTAGTCGGTGAAAAATTGTTCATCGAAAGGTAATTAATAATTAATAATTATGTTCAATACGTCTAGTAAATAAAGTACCCCAAAACGAGTTTTTTTATCTAATTAAAAAATTGCATTTAAAGGTGCACTAAAGTAAATACAATTGTTAAAATTTTGATTTTTAGCAAAAGTTTAGTACAGTTATTATTTTAGTCAAAATAAGTACCAAAATCAAAATTCAAATACTTAGAAATAGAATTATTGGTGCCATACATACACGAAAAAAACCATCTGCAGTCACACCATGTGTACCAAAAGTAAAATTGTAATGATAACAATAAATATTTTAATTTCGGCTTACAGGGCCAGAAGAATCAGAAAAGTGTTGGGTGGTGCCATGCGTCAAGCTGGGATCGTGGCCGCGGCGGGACTGTACGCATTAGATAATTGCGTGGAAAGGCTGGCCGACGATCACAGAAACGCCAAGAAAATAGCTTACGGTATACAAACGATGATTGATTTGACTAAAATATCATACTATATGTTATTAGTTTGTTATTACTCATTAGTTATATAGGTACTCAATGGTGGAAATCATGGGGGTCGAGGGAGCTTAGAAGTTAGAACAGTATAATAATAGACCAATCCCACAATAATGTACTGCCCGGAAATGGATCATTTAACAGCATTTCATTAGAATTAATTGTTACCGAACTTGTGTTTATGGCATTGCAAATTGATTACGATTAATTATTATTATTTATTTAATATTTGTATTACATGCAGCTATCCAAAGGATGGCAAGTCCCCATGTGACCGTCAACCCGGATGCGCTCGACACAAACATACTTTTGGTGAACATTAACCCACCTCGAGTCGACGCCAAATACTTCGTTTCCGAACTTATAAAGGTAGTAAAACCAGTTTGTTTTTAAAATTCTATTGTCGTCTTTCACGATATGCATGTACGGATGTTATGTGTGTATATAATATATAACTTTTGAATCAATGCCGACTTACCAGTTACCGTAGAACGGTATGAATACGTTTTTAGTGTAAAAAAAGGTAATAGCATAACATTCATTTGAATGTTTTGAAAAAGTCATTGCATACAGTAAAATATAAAAATACACTTAAGTTTCAAGTACATCCCATTCAAATACAATTTTTGAATTAAAACGAAATAACTAAAATTATTATTCTTCGATTTAACAATGATTATTTATTTTTAATTTCCTTTAAGAACAACCTATGGGCATTTTGTATGAAATAGATTTTTGACCGGGCCTGACAATTTTTTTTAACACTTCAAAAGAAAATAAACTTTATAAATGTCTGTGTAAATGGCTGCTTACATGTATAATTCAATACATTTAGATACCTATCTACGGCAAATAGGTATAGATGCGTATAGCGTATTAATATCTAGTTCAATATATTAATTTACCCATCACTGCATGCGGTTACGACGTGTTATTAATAAATTATAGATCGATAATTTTAAGACAACAAAACATAAAAAATATAAATTGATTACAATATGTAACTTCTATTATTTGTTTTTTTTAATCTAAGTACCTACATATCTCTTATTATTATTAATACCTATTGATGTACGTAATCAGAAATCATTCGACTACAGAAAAATGAACTAAAAAACTAAAAACATAATAAAAAATGTGCAACTATGGTAGGTATATGAATGGCGTGACTTCGGAGATAAGTGCTCAGTTTTAGAGGATGCCAAATGGTGCATCATAGACGATTTAAACATAGCACAATAATTTAAAAGTCGATCTACCTTTTTAGAATTTTCTAATTACTATTATACATTAAATGGCCTCTCCTAGCTTCCCAAACCCCCCCAAAAAAATTTGCTAAAATAACGCTGTAGGTAATATATTTTGTAATACCATTAATACCTACACTAATATGGCACCTCAAGCAAAAAGTATATGAAGGTACTCTTAGTAGATCTTCATAAAAAATGTTTTAGGTATAGTAATATAGCAAAAGTATTTTATTATTATAATCAAGACCTACTATCATAAATTCATAGGCGCAATTTGGGGGGGGGGGTGCTTGGGGGTGCTTAGCACCCCCAATATTTTTTATACTTATTTTAATTTTAATAGTCATTATGCAGGCATCCACAACCATAAGATAATATGAAAAAAAAATAAAGGGGCTTCAGCACCCCCACCTTTTTTATTGAAATTGCGCCCCTGAATTCATAATAGGTATTAAACTAACCTAGTATCCCAGTAGACTATAATGTACCATGCCTAGTATTGATGTAGGTACCTATTGCGTAATCGATACCTATGGTAGCTTTGACTATTTGAAATTGCGTTGCCTTGTACCGTGTTTGTTATATTTAAATATTTTTACCTACTCCATAAGTGATATTAACGGCCATTAAGGTCGTTTTACGTTTTCACTGAACATGATGTAAAGAATAATTTATCAATTACCTAACATCCCTCACACAGGTGGACGCTGACGGACTCGACAGTAAGACGAATAATAAGATACGATCGACCGCCGTGAGGATAGCGCAGATAAACGATGCAAGAGTGAGGATCGTGACGCACAAAAAAATCACCGACACAGACGTGGACATGGCCATTGAAAAGATTAAGTACGTCATTGGAAAAATCGACACGACCTGCAACCGATAAAAACCGATCCACTGCTATCAAAATTGTGTAACTGTATATATTAATAATATTTTATACATTTAAATAAATGTTTTAAAATACTGGTGTCAATGTAATTTGTATTATCAAATAAAAAAAACCTTAATAATATTATTTTTATCTTCTGTGCGTAAACTTATACCAAAGTAGGTAGGTACTTAAATAATTATTGAATATCTGAGTATTTTATAGATTGGTGGATTCAGTGTCGAAACGAATCTAAAATAAACTCACCACCCACCCACTTACCAACAATTTATAATGGACACATTTAAAAAGTACTTTTAGCATAACTAACCACCGATCCAAAAAACTATTACCATTGAGCATGAAACTAATTAGTAATTACGTTACCATAGCATTTAAGAAAAATAAGTTAATAAATATAAAGTGTAACATTTTTCAATATATATATATTTTAATCACTTAAAATATTATAGGTATCTTTTTTTGAATAACAACTATTACAAATCTAAAATGCGTTTTCAAAAATATATTATTAGTTTATTACCTACAAAATACCGAGAGGGGCATTGCCTTGTTTAATTTTTAAAGAGAGGACGGTTTTCCCCATAAATTAACGCCTATAGTTAGTTACAAATGTAACTTAGAAAGATACTGCAAGGTTTTGCGTCAAAATTCCTGATTTTCAACAATATTATTGTCTTCCCATGCGCTTTTGAAAATATCTGAGAAGTTTTTACATTTCACCCCTTCAATGTACCAATTTATTTCATTTCACCACATTTTCCTACCAGAAAATGTGCTGAAGTAAAAAATCCAAGCATTTTTACTGCTAAAACATGAAACCATGATCCGATATACATAAGCGAATTGAATTTCTAAAATATTACAATTTAATTATCATAACTATCATTCACAACTTATTGCACTCAAACTGTAGGAAATACGCATGCATATATTATTCACTTAAAATAACCGAAATATGCGAAAATATGCAATTAAAATGTTTGTAGGTCAATCAGTTAAAACAAATTTATACTTCACTTAGATTACTCTGCAATCATTATTAAACAATATGCAAATGCAACAAGTCCAGAACTCTAATCATAACTCACTTCAAATATCACAAAAAACTTATGAAAATACTCATGTTTTGATAATAGGTCAATTCACCCATATAGTCTAATACTACAGCCAACACAAAAGTTGTTCTACTGAATATACATTTTAGTATGTTGTTTAGATGAACACCACGAATTAAGGAGTGACTTCTTTTTAATTATGTTTTTAACTATGGTAAAAAAATGTTAATTAAAAGTAATAATAGTTTCATTGACACTGGAAATATCAATTTACTGGGCAATTTTTAAATTGCCTATCTATGAAGATATTTCTACATGATATATTAAACATTTTTTTACTGAATTATTTCTTTTTAATTTTTAAAGCCAAATTTTGTCAAACAAAATATGATACATTGAATAATTTTTTTTTTATAAAACATTTCTAATTTAATAAAAAAAAATCAATACTTGAATAAATGTTTTACTATGGTTGAATGCAATATAAATCATAATTTACTGATAAATAAACATAATACATATTTATTATGTTTACTAACTGATACATAATTTAAACTACAAAGAATATAAAACTGTAACTTATATTTTTAATGAAATTTTAAAAAAATATGATGAAATTTCTTTTAAGGATTTGGTGGAAGTAGTTCAGCTGGTATGGTAGATTTTTCACCTGAAATAAAAACAAAATAATTTTAATACAGTACAAATATGTATAAAAAAACTACCTACTTTGTATTTTAAACATAACTATAAAACCCATTAACTAATTAAGAAAGTATAGGATGTAAAAACAATAAAATAATACTTGTAACATTAATTTAAATTAAGTTTTGATGTTCATAGTTATTATATTAAATAATGCATTGATAGTGGTATGCACAAATAGGTAAAAAATGTTAAGATAGATCTAAATAATAAATGTGACTCATACCTTAAGTAAAGGTTGAAAAATGTATTATCCGACACCAGATGACAATTATTTATTATTACGATTGTTAAATAATATACTGTTTTAAGATTATTTTAAAATCAAATTCTAAAGATAACTTATACAAATTTAACTTTATAAAACAAATCATATATTTAATTAAATAAATTTGGTTTATAATTAGTAGATAAAGTTCACTTTTTCATATGCCCAAATAATAGAAAAGGATAATTGTTTATTGATTATTTTTATAAAATATAATTTTATTATTTATTCAATTGAATTGATTTAGTTAATTATATATTTCTTATTTTTTAATTTAAAATCTAATTATATTTACAAGATAATACAAATTAAATCTATTGATTTAGATCAAAAGTATTTAATTCCTACATACAGCACAGGATTAAATTACATTACAATGAAAAATAAAATTGTTTAATTATTAACTTGATAAATTTTCTTACCATTTTCTTCATCTTCATTCTCATCATTGTCCGAATCAAAAGTGTTATCAGGAATGTCATACAAACGAATGAGTGGCTGTTAATGAAACAATAATAGTAAATTACTATTACTTGAGAATTATTATCAAACTAAAAAGTACAAACCTTGTTCGGGTCTTTCATAATGAGATATTTGCCATCCTTTTGCTTCATGCACAAATCAATGATGCATCGTAGTATTCCCCAGGCGTTATCCATGTTCAGATTTATTTGAGTCGCAAACTCAGTAGGTTTATACTGTTGTGTGCCTAATATAACATGTTTGGACGAATCACGCACTTGAACACGGCTAACATATCCAAACTTAATGTAATCAGAGCCTGCAAGCAAAGCTTGTACTGTCCATTTAGCTAATTTACAAGCATTGTTTCGTAATTCAGTAGCTAAAACTCCTCCACGTTGTACATCTAACTTATGACGCCAATCCACTCCACCAGACAACTATTTTATCAAATATAAAAACATATTATATTGTAATTTATTATAAAAATAAAGTTAACATTATCTTACTTTTGAGTCCCATTCATTAAGTGCTTTAATGGTCAAAAACTGTAAATCTCCATTTGGTACTTGCAGTACTGAGTCATGCTCACATCTAGCAACCAATACAATTCCATTATCCAAATCCCACTTACGGTATCGATAAGCAACAGATGCTACTTCTCCATCAGTTTCATCATCTGACACAAATGGATTAGGTTCTTCAAACTTGTATCTCACTTCTCCCTTAAATATTATATTATTATACAAAAATATTTAACTTATATCATTCAAAAGGAAGAGATTTTAAAACTTACAGTTTTCAATACTTGTTGCGAAAAATTATGATTGATAAATGTAGCTTCTAATGCCAAATTCCTTGGAGAATTCAAGCTATTTGCTTCTTCCGAAGGAGGCTCTACTGCTGTTTCATTGACAGTAAGTAAATCTAAGATACAAAGTAAATAATAATTAGTAACATAATCAATTTTATGTATTCTTAAAAAAAAAGACTTACCAAATTCAGTATTATCTCTCTTGTCAAAGAACAGTTTATCACCGACTTTATCAATAACTATGTCCCAACTGTAGTTAGATCGAGTACAACACATCAAGCATGCTAATATAGCATCTGTAGCATAAACATTACCCACTGTTTTCACCAACTATAACAATTATTTTAAAATTTGAATATAATAAAAAATATATGGTAACAGAATAAGACATCCTGTTGCCTGCAATAATAGTAATCTCATTCATCAGAAACTCATTATAGACAAATATTATAACAGACTGTTAAAATTAGGTTAGGTCACAGGATACTCTAAGTGGCACAAAAAATCTCAAGGATATAAAAATATTGAGTATATTTAAAGATTCCAAAAATCAGATTTTGAAAAACTTTATTATTAAAGAAAAAAAGGGGGTAAGCATACTTGTTGGATCACTTTTTCCAATTTTTTTTCACAGAATTATTCCAAATACCCCCTAAGTGTCGCCATCATGGTGTCCACTATGTCATCCGATTTTCAAACTTTTGATTTTAAAGAGTTGAAATCGGTAAAGATAAATTGTTTAAGTACAAATTATATATCTATATATATATTACAGCACGGCGACCTGTGGGTTACCATAGCGACATGCAACCATAACTTTTTGTCCGTCTAACTATGTGTTTGATCAGCATGTTAATATAAATTGTTCCGAGAAGTAAAGTTCTACAATCTATCTATATCTATCTAGGTGTATAAAAATAAATCTCTATTTCCCTTAGTCAAGGCATCACGCTTATCATTTAAAACAGATCCATCTATCTTCTATATCTATAATTTTACATTGGAATCAATTGGAAGATTAATGAAAAATTTTATAGTGATTTTTTTGATAGGTGTTTGTTCCTCAGATTAGTTTAAGCAATCACGCTTAAAATTTTTAAACAAACTTAAGTCACCCGCGGGCCGCCGTGCCATACAATAAAGTGTATAGGTCTACAATGTGCATGTTTATTTTAATTAATAACTCATTTTCCGTTCAACTTTCTTAATTTTTTAGTAGAATTTGGTATTTTTTTAAACTTTTTGGTTGCCATTGGTTAATCAGGCAGGTCAGGTTTAAGATCGCATCAAATTTAATTTTAGTACATTGCCTAACAAGATGGCTGTCATCTGAGTTACACTTATGGCCGCTTATCGGCGTGTACACAATCAAAATAATTAACTATACAATTTATATATAATAATATAGCTATATAATACACGAGCAACACCATGACGGGTCAGCTAGTATAACATATAAATCACGAAATAAAAATGTCTTAAAGTAAATAATTTATGTCAAAACTGCTATCAAAAAAATCTTATATAAGGTTGTACCAATGAATTGCAAAAACAATCATAACATGCATACGATACAAGCCAATAGGCTGAAAGGAATTAACAGTTATAGAAAGACAATTATTGAGGATGATATATGGACCAAAATATAATACATTTGGAAACATAGTACCAATGGAAGACTTAAAACAAATGTCATAATCAATGATAATATATTGAGCTGGTTAGGCCACATACTAAGATCCAATTAAATAGAAAAAAATACATTGAATAGGAAGTCTCCAA